GAGTGTTTATGTGAGAGGAAGGAAGGTAAATTTCTCTCCTACTGTGATAAACAAATACCTAGGGAGGCCTGATGATGCTCAGCCTGAGCTTGAAGTTACTGACAACCAGGTTTGTCAAACCATCACTGCCAAGCAAGTCAAGCACTGGACCTTGAAAGGGAAGCTAACTGCAAGCAAGCTGAGTGTGAAGTTTGCCATACTGCACAAAATTGGTGCAGCTAACTGGGTTCCCACCAACCACAAATCCACCATCTCCACTGGTTTGGGAAGATTTATCTATGTTGTTGGAACCAGAACAAACTTTGATTATGGCAACTACATCTTTGATCAAACAATGAAACATGCTGAGAGCTGTGCTATTAAAGGCCCTATTGCTTTTCCCTCTCTCCTGTATGGTATAATCATTGATCAATATCCTGATATTCTGGTTGAAAAGGACTATGTGTGCAAAAGAGCCCCTGCACTTGGTTTTCACTATAAGCTGTTTCAGGGAACACATGTCCCTGACATTGTTATCACATCTGCTGAGACATTAAATATCAAAGCTCATTCCAAGAAAGCTGATATTATAGTTGTTCTAAAAGAAACATGTAGAGAGCTTGATGCAAGAAAAAGGACTCTTGAAGAGCTGATTACTAGTCTGGAACAGGAGGAGAATGAAGAACAAATGTGGGAAGAGGATGCTGATGAAGAACAGCATGATGGTTCTGCAAGAAGCTCACCAGAAGATGCTGCTGAAAATAGTGCTTCCTCAGGGGATGACAGTACCTGAAGGTCTGTGTTTGCTGAGTTGTAAAGATTGATGCTGGAACTTGTTGCTGCTATTTGATACCTTCTCCCTGTTTCTGTGTATTTTGGATTTCCTTTTGATGACTGTATAACTTGAAGTACTAGATCCTTTGGCCTCTTTATGGCTAAAAAGGGGGAGAAGTAATTGTGGTAATTTTGGTAGAATTTGATATTGGTAGTTAGATTAGCTGTTATTAAAAATTCTGCTGCATTTTAATCTCTGATTGTTTAGGGGTTTTAGCCAAAAATTTGCCAAAGGGGGAGTTTGTAAGTGTTTGCTTGTTGGCATTAATTTTTGGTAAAACCATATTTGCGAATGTCATGACTGATGTCATAATATTCTGGGATAAAGACAAATTCTGCAGAAGGAATGTTCTACAGGAACAACTCAGTATGAGTGAACATCATGATGATTAAGCTATGATCATATGTACTGAATTCTACCAAAATCAGTGATCAGGATACATGATGTCATAACCAATGTTAAGACATCATGTACTGATCAAGTTGTTGTGCAGATTTATTGTTCCTGAGAATTTTCAGGAATCTGGTGTGCTATTCTGAGTTGAAGTATATTGACTAGATCATATGCTCACGTGGATATTAGGTTAATCTTGCTTAACCCTAATCTGTTACGATGAAAGCCCAAGACCAAGTCTTTAGGTTAACTTTGGTTAACCCTAGCTATTTTTATGGAAGCCCAAAATGAAGAATAGACTGCATATATATTTCTCATGAATCATAATGGTGTGTATCGCTTTTTAGAGAAGATCAATAAGGCATTTTGTAGTTGTGATAGTTTTAGTAATTACTGTGAGCCAAGAAATTATCACTTGATAAGTGACTTGGAGTAGGATTTGGTTGTAAGGGGTTGTTTATCACTCAAAGCTTTGAAGCACGAGTGTTGTGTCTCTTGATTAAAGCTTTGAAGCAAAATCAAGCGTGTGTATTGAAGAATGTCTTCATAATCTTATTAATTAGTAGATTAGTATCATTGCTGTGATTGAGGGGGAGTGAGTAGGAACTCAGGTTTAAGTAGGACTTAGATTGAAGTTGCATTGGGTATGTCTTAAGTGAAGGAGATAAACTGGTTGGTTTATTCCTAAATTAATACCTCTTATAGTGAATTTCCTCCCTGGTTTGGTAGCCCCCAGATGTAGGTGTTGTTATACACTGAACTGGGTTAACAATTGATTGTGTTCTTTATTGTCTGTTAAATTACTATTTGGTTTGTGTATAATTTGTCAGATACGGTGTCATAACATTCACTGTGACATTAAGTATCTGTTGCCAGAATTTCAGTAGGGATCTTTGGAGATAACAATGACTGAGTCATCAATGAAGTTTTGGTACCATATGCATGAGTCTATGACGTTGCATTACATTCTTTGTGATATTGCACAATGAATTGATTTGATGATACTTGAGGATAAATGGTGTTTAATGATATGTGTTGTGTATTGATGAATGGTGAAAGTGTGAGTATAGCATGAGATTCTGATGATGTGTGATGCATTAACTATGTGTATATCTACTATGTTTATTCCTTACGTCTTTTATAATTATTATGATTTAATCACCCTTTCTGTTTGAATGTTACCTCCACGTGGGTAACACGCAAGTGATCGCAAATAGTTCGTAGAAACGTGAGGATAGCCTTAGTGTGCGCTTATTTGCTTTTCATTGAATAAAGGGAGTCTTTCCGTGATATGTAATATCGGAGTTGGGATCATTTGATTGAAAATTTTATGTCTTTAGTTTATTTTGAGCTTATGATGAGGATTTTGTTTTGAGACTATGATTTCCTCTACGACATTGGAAGTGATTATATTATGAGACCAAAGTATTATACATTTTAAAAGTGTTTTTGCAATCTGTGTTATGGAGCATGATTAATTGTTATTCGATGTTTTATGAAGATGTGATGCCCTTCTGTGGTCTTTATTTGATTTTATTTTCGTAAAAATATATGTGAAATATATGTGGGTTTAGAAGGGTGTTACACAGAGTATTTAAAAATATTTCTCATTCTCTTTAAATAACTCCAAAGGTTTTTTAAAAATCATAAATTCTTATGTCTCTCTTCTGCTCTAAAGTTCTCAAGATTGTCACACTCTAGAATAACATAAATGTATTTATAATTGTTAAAATCCAACATATTCATAATAAAATTTTAAAATATATTCCATTAATTTTTAAAATAAAATATTATTAATACCTTATAACATCTCTTAGAATATTATAAATATATATCTTATAATATCTCTTAAAAATATTATAAATATATATCTTGTAATATTTTTTAGATTATTATAAATATTTTATAATATTTTATATTTATTTAGAGTCTTAGACTATTTCTAAATTAATATAAAATATATATTTAATATTCTAATTTAACGAATAGATGCTCGAACTGAACCGATCAAACTCGATATCTGCAAACCACTTAAATCAGACATTCTTTCTGTTTTTTGGCTTTTTTTATTTCTGACAATCTCGAAATATGTTTTCTTTCTCTTCATCCCTTAAGATTTTAAGGCATACTTAAACAATCTCTGCCTTGACTTGAAATTATGATGATGCAAATTTAACCATTGTTGCTTTCTACCATGTTCAAACCCTATTCAACAACTTTGATCAAGTTCAAGACACCCTTGAGCCCTGATCTTGCCACTTGCATCCACTTGTTTTCAATCATCTTTTTCTTCCTAGGTAATCTAACAAGTCCAAAAGATAGTTCTGCAACCATCGTTGATTCTACATGTTTTTAAATGTCTTCCTAAAGGTCCTTTTTTTCTTCTGAATTTTACAATTCTCCATTCATATTTAAAGCATAACACCCAAAGCTTGCATAGTCGTCCCTTTGAGATGCTACAATCTCCCTCTTATCTTAACATAAGTCAAATGATAATTGGAGGCCTCTATAATCGTCCCCCCACTACTACTAGTATCCATAGTAGAAAACTCGCATTATGCAAAATTTTAAACAATCCATGTTCAACTCTAATGCAACAGCCTAGATCACAAAACATGCTTATAGACAACAAATTTCTCTTGAGTTCTAAAACATAACTCACATTATGAAGAAGAAACTCACGATCATCGTACATTTTAAGTCTGGATATACCATTCAATGAATTTTTCAAGCTTATTGTCACTAAGAAGAACTACTCCACCTTGCTCCAACTTTAAAGTCTCAAAGTATTCTTTTCTTAGACACATGTGATAAGAGCAATCAAAGTGTATGACCTACTTATCTTTAGTCTCCAAACTCGACACTATTAATGCATCAACACTCTCATAACCATCCTTATCTAAGCCAATTGCAACTTGAACATAATCATCATAGTCCTTTCTCTCAGGACAATCCCTTTTAAAGTGATCGATTTTCTGACAATTATAACATTTTACCTTTGACTTATCAAACCTTTTTGATTTGGACATCGCTCTACACTCACTTCCTCCTCTCGAGACACTCAAGATTTCACTGATATCATCAATATTCAAATCTTTTACCTTTAAAAATTCTTTGGATCTCATAGTCGCCCAGACTTCATCCAAAATAATAATATCTTCCTTACCATAAAGAAGTGCATCTCAGACTAATATATATATATATATATATATATATATATATATATATATATATATATATATATATATATATATATATATATATATATATATATATATATATATATATTCTAATATTAATAAATAAATTTCTGAATCGAACTGATTAAATTCGATATTTGCGAATCGTCATAACCGAGAGTTCTTATTATTTTAGCTTTTTGATTTCTGACAATTTTAAAAGATATTTTTTTTCTCTTCACCACTTAAAATTTTAAGGCACTTTAATAATAAATAAATAATTTATTTTTAGAATTTGATTTGTCTATTTAAAAATAAAAATATGATTGTCTAAATTTTGAATCACATACATCTAAAATACAACACTAAAATCGATATATTAATATCAATTGTTACTTAGTCTAATAGTAATTGACATTAAATTTAGTAGGATGAATCATAATTCTATAGGGTGATAAAAATAAATAAAAAAATAAAAAAATAGACGTATTGATAATAATATTAAAATTTAAAAAAAAAAAACATAAACGTGAGTGCTAGAAAATACTCAGAGTACTTTTCTCCTCATTTGCAAATTGACATTTTAAAAAAAACACAGTTGACACAACAAAAACATGGGTGAGTGTTGTTTTTCGCAGTTAGCGTTAAAGAATCAAACTTTTTGAGTCTAAATTTTCTTTCTCATCTCTTTCTCACTAAGCCTTTTTCATTTCACATGTTCTTGGGTAAAATATTGCAGCTGATGATGCAAGAGAAGAAGAAGAAGAAGAGAAAATGATAAAAATGGAAGGAGTAGCATCAATTGCATTGCTTCCAAATGGTTCAATCTCAGGACACTTCATTCATCTTCCTCATTCCATTTGTTATGGTCTTCATGGCACTGGTAATTCACTATTTTATAACTCTTAGGTTTCGATAAATAGTGTTATCTTTTTTTTGCAAAATTGAGTTTTCTTAGAATCGCAATATCACTATATTCGCTGTGATTTGTATGCTGTTGCAAAAAAAAAAAAAATTCAATTTTTAGGTCTAAATAAAACCCTAAACCAATTTTTAGGTTTACCCATTTTTATGTCACTTGGCTGGAATTGAAAATGATGTTGAATCTTGTGAGAATGTTGGTGAAGGAGGTAATGTTGGACATTTTTAGTGCTTTGCAAGGCAGTAATGAGGAGGGGTGTGTCAGAGTCAGTGCCGTCTTTGAGGGCTTGCAAGACGGGCTAATACACGGGGTCTCACACTTTGATTAAGTTAGGGCATAAAGGACCTCCATACACATATTACACGCATAATTTACGGTTAAATAGAACCCCTTAAAAAAATTCACTACTCAACTGAAGCTAACTTCAGCTTCTTACAAAGGGTCTCTCAAAAGTTTGAGACGGCTCTGGTCAGAGTTGGTGAAAAAAGAAAATGCAATGAAGTGGCTGTTGGGAGCTCGAGAGATTTTTCAAGAGGAGGAGAACTGACTATCAAGCCATCATGAATAACAAGATTGAGAAGACTTATGGAGATAACTTTAAGGGGAGGAGAGTTGGCTCACAAGCCATTGTAAATAATGAGGTTCAGAAGACTTTGAGAGAAGAAGCATGTCGAGCGGTTGCAAGTTTTTTCTACAACAATGCCATACCGCCCAGTGCAGTAAAGAGTGATGAATTTAAGTCTATGTGTGATTTGGTTTCAAGACAAGGCTTAGAGTTTGAGCCACCTTCTTTTGATGACATTAAACGGAGATATTTGATGAAAGAGCTTTATAAGAACATAGAGCTATAAGCACATGATATTATGAGTTTTATATGGTTATACACGATGATTGTACTAATAGAGACTAGTATATAGAACTTGACAACATTTTATATGGTTTCTCATGTATGTTATTTTATATTTTATATGATATGATTTGATTAATGTAAAGTATGACATATGGGTGTGTATGTTTCTTACTTGCTAATGGTTCTACTATGTGATTCCCTTCTCTGTTAAATTATTTTGGTAGCCTTTCGTCACCGTTGAATAATTACTTATGTATGTTTTCCTTTCAATCTTTTTTCATGGCGAAAGAATTGGAATGTGAAAGGGAATGCAGTAAGGGTGAGGACTATCGTCTCGTCAAACTCACAATAACAGATTTCAATGTAGTAACTGTGACATTTGCGATGCTTATCTTTTCCTATCCATTCATCCGTCTGTCATGCACTTGATGCCTATTTGTTTTTTTTTTTTATGAAACAGACGAAGAAAGAACAAACCACCGTGGTAGAGTGCAAAGGCCACGATGCCGCTCGGTTCCACAACATTGATCATGCTCACGGGTAATCCTGATTTTACAAATTGATTTCTTTGACCATATTATTACTCCTTTTTTTTTTTTTTGAATTTCTCGTTTATTTTCATGACCATTAGTAGATAAAATGTTTATTTTATTATTTGCATTCACTTTTGAACAGTTGGGATAAAGAGATCACAGGTATGGTTGAAAAAAATAACGGAAAGAAAAGAATCACAGTTTCTTTCGAGTGTGAGACTCTGAAAGCTGAGAATGCAGCTGAAGACCACATCAGGCAGTTCATGCCGAAACTAACTGGAATGGACGCTGTTGGTATGTCAATATCAGAGATTGGAGATTTTTTAAGTTTACCATTCTTCTTTATGTTTTTGTTTTCCAACTCTATAAGACTTTTTGTTACAGTTTCATGTATGTTCGATCTGATTTTGATTACTTGTATCAGAATCTAGTAGTACAGATACTTTCTTCTCTGGCATCCTTCTTCTGTTTTCTTAAAATGCTTCTCTTTCTCTTGACTCTTGTATTTTACTCGGTGGTTTGAATTGTGCAGTTAACATTGGAAAGATGACGATTTTTGGGTTGGACTTTGGAGCCGAAGACGAAGAAACTGAGTAAAAGTTTGATATTGTAACTAGTTAGTATCCAATTAGGCTACTGAGAGAAAAACTAAATTGCATGAATTTAAATTCTGCAGAAAACTGTTTTGTACATTCTAGTCCATAGAAAATATCGGTGACTCTAGACCATACGATAAAATCTAATGGCTTGACAACTTTGAGAATATAGAATATGAAACATGTAAAATCTCCCTTAGAATGGTTTATTACATAATTTGAATCCAAATGACACCTCTCACATTGGTTTCAAATTCTATAATTCAAAATTGTCTTATACAACAACATCAAGCATCAGAGTCCATGTTCTTTAACTACATTATATTGAATGCTCATGCATGCATGGTCCAAACCACCATAGTCCCACCCTCTTCTACTATAACTTTTTTCTGTAATGGTTTCCTCTTCGGTTAGTATAAATGAATGTCTTTATGGTGCAGGACTCAGAAATCAGATAGGAATGTGATATCTTAAAATACTATCTCATGTATCTTTATATACTTTTTTCAATCATGTCGGATTGGACGCATTGATCTTTGATGTAACACCTTTTTAAATATAATTTATGAATAAAGTATTTTTCACATATACACATTTATGATGTTTACACGATATCAAAACTCATCTGAAAATATTTACAGCAAAATCATCATCAAATAATCATAATAGGTAATATAACACTTAGTGGTATGTCTTAAACTCCAAATTTAATAATAATAATAATAATAATAATAATAATAATAATAATAATAATAATAATAATAATAATAATAATAATAATAATAATAATAATGAAATATTATTGATACTCAACCCAAAACATCACATAAACATCTCAACAACATAATTGAAAATTGATTATAAAATAAACGACATCGTAGTTCAGAAATCAAACGTCAATCCGACCCGATGTTACATGAATCAGAGTAGAAATCTACTACATAAAACGCTAAACTAAAGAGTCTTTAATAGCTAGCTTCCACTTAATTCCGCAAAATGTACTCCTGAGTATCTGCATGTTACCTACGTAGAGATAACATTCAAACATAAGGGGTGAGTAATCATAATCAATTATAAACAACATAAAAAAAGATAGATTGCATCAATTATTTATAAATCAATCCACAATTTTAACAATTCTTAACTCACACCCAAACATCATAAACAATTCTGATACAACATATTATTACAAGGTTCACACATATTCACATAAGCACTCACACATATCACAACGTCACGTAGCACCAACAAATTTATTCAATACCATATAGAATGCTGTTGTACTCCAAAAAATTTCCTTCATTTTCACACAAGACATACTCCTAGAGGTTCTCAATTGCCCTAGGTTGACCAAGATTTGACCAGACAATTTTCCTCTTAAGGCAATGAGCCCCCAACTAGGGTTTCAATTTTCATTAAGATGGTTGAGCTCCAAGGATCCCACATGTTCTCCATTGTCCTAATATGTCCTCAAGGTCATCCATGCCAAGTTTCATGCCTTGCTCAACAAGTTTGCTCAGTCAATTGCTAAAGTATTGGAAAATCAACTGTGTTAGGTCAAAAGTCAATTGTGACCTATGTACAGTCAAACTTCAAGATTTTTGGTCAACATCAACATTTTGAAGTGATATACATCATTTTTTCAAGGGTTAATCATGATTCCTCAAGAAATGTTCCTAACCCATCAAAAGTCAAAAATGGCAAAGTAGGGTTTCTATAGGAAAAGTCAATTGAACTTTGACCAGACATAACTTTCACATACTTCATCCATTTTTCCATAACCAAAGCTCATATTGAATATAATCTCATTACCTATAACTTCTCTTCAGACCTCAAGTCCAATAAATGCATCATTTGAAAGATACAAGCTCATACATTACAGGTCATTTTCAGAAAGTCAACAAAAGCCACTTTTTGCCAAGACCTTTTACATTAAGATAAAATCTTCAAATGCAAAATTGATCAAAAGAGAGATTTAAGTAGACATATTGGGCTTTCCAAAAAGTCCAAGATCATCATCATGATATAAATATTGAGCAATTTACGGCTTGCCCAAGTTGAGAAAATTTGGGAATTTTCAAGAATTATGCATTGAGCAAATTTGAAGTTTTAAGGCAAGGGCTCAATTTATTGGACTTCAAGCATCTTTCTAAGTTTATAGAGGACCTCTAAAATTATTCTTGCCGTTCCTTGCATTTGCTAACTATTTTATTCATATTTATTTTAATTTATTTCAAATAAATATAAAATAAAATGTATAAAATAATTGGAAATGGGCTTTGATCTTTGGGTTGATGTTTTAGACAGCCTAGGCTCATAAAATTTCGTGCAAAAGTGTCTACATTCATTCAAATTCAAAAAGGACAAGATTCCATGTCTTTGGCAAAGTTACAAAACATCATTCATGGCTTTAAAAACACATATTTATGGTTGTTATTACCTTTGTTCTCTTGTCTCCTCCATCCTCTCTATATAAAGGACACATTATCAAGCTTCAACACATGAGATACAGCCTGGAAAAGCTCTATAAATTTTGCAAAAATTATCAAAGTTGTAAAAATTCTCATTTTAGGTTCCAGCATTTCTCAATCCAAACAAAAGATCCAAATACATTCCTAGAGACTACCTGAAACTTTTGCAATCATTACCAAGCCCTGAAACATCACAAAACACCTCAATAAGCTCCATTTTTATATTTTCTAACTTGTTTCATGCAGATCTGGTGCTCCTCGTAGCTAGATGTGTATTATACATCATCAGACATGTGTCATCAGATGTCCATCTGATCAGATCTAGTGCACTGTATCTGCGGGCTCGCCATGTGCCATCAAGATCAATCCACATTGGATCCAGAAGAAAATCTAGGCCTCTCCCTTCATGGGCCAGCGAATTCAACAACCACACTCCCACTTTTTTTTTACTATCTCAGGCCCATCTAGTTTTTTTTGTAATGTTTTAATTTCTTTTATCTTCTTTACTTAATTAAGCAAATAATTAAAAAAAACTCACAAAAAATTAGGCTTAGACTTTTTTTTAAAATTAAAATAATGAAATGCTTTAATTAATTAATTAATTAAATTTTAACTACTTTCTTATTTTAAAATGAACTAGAATTTAGGATTTAATTTATGTTTCAAATGTTTTCTTAATAAAAAATGCAAAAATATTAGAATTAGATTAATTTCATTCAATATTTATTTTCTTAAATTAAATTTAGATTTAGTTTAATTATTTTTCTTGAAATAAATAAAAATAAACCCAAAAATATTTTTCTTGTTTACTTAGAAGTTTTCTTAGGATTTTTAGACATAATATTTATTTCGCGCGCGTTATTTTTGTTCTCGCATTTTATATAAATAATGTAACTGATTATGGGATGTAATAGTCTAGATTTAAAATTCTGCATTTTATTTTCTTGCACTTTTTATGTAATTGTCCCAAAGCGTTATAATAGCCTAGGATTTAAATTTTCGCACTTTAAATTTCTGTAAATATTAACTGTAAGTAACTAGGCGTGCATGATAAGACTGAAAATTAAAACGTTAGCAAACTTAATAATGTAAGATAAATAACTGAATCTCAACACACTTGCACATGCACACCTCTAAGGTATCTCCCATTTTAGTTGTCTTTAAATAAAACAGTCATGAGGCAGGAACGCTTTAGTAAAGACTCATAAATCAAAAAAGATCATAGTCCATCGATGACCCTACATTTGCCTTTTGGTAAATGATCTAGTCCCTAAAATAAAATTGCTAAAGCGTCTCCATAAATTGTCTTCGCGATTGTAAAATGTTCCTTCGATTGTCCCTCAACATTCGAAGATAAGGCTACCTACACACTAATAGTAGGATAACACTATCTAAAGGAACGGAGGAAAAGAACATCCTTTTTTGAGTAGGTAGATTGTTCTTAAGTACTTGCTCAAAACTGAATTTTTTAACACTTACACACTTTTCAAAAACTATTTTCAAAAACGCTTTATCACACTCTTGAGGACTGATACAAGAGTTACCATAAAGTAAACAAAAAAACTTTCAAAATACACAAACACACAAATAGTTTTCAAAATGAGCAAGTACCTAAGAGCCTGTGGAAAACCACGGATGGAAAGGGTGCTAACACCTTCCCTTTCCATAATCTACCCCACTTACTCAGAAAATCTCGAAAAAGGTCTTTTTCTGTTTTTTTCACCCTTTCCTTTGTTGGATAAAAGAAAATTCGGTGGTGACTCTTGCTTACCGCGACATTTGTGAACAAAAAACACAAACCAGTATTAAATAGTCAGTTCTTCCACCGTATCACAAAACTGGAGGCTCTGCTGGGGTACATATAAAATGGGGTTTACCTTAGGGTCTAGATCATTTCTAAATTATTTGCTTGTTTGTTTGCTTTAATTTTAAGGGATTGTTTGGGTTATTATAGATCCTACACTCGGATCTGGGGAAACCTTTTAGGTAAGTAGAAATAGATCATGGAAACTGTGCGGGGTATACCGACACGGTTGAAGCGATGGCTACGTTGATGCGACGCTTTAGTTGGTATCGGTGGCCCTTGAGTTAATCAAGGAGAATACGGGCCCTCCGCGTGGTGTCATAAAGCCTCAATTGACCTGAGAACCTTTAAATGAACAACTTGGCCATAGGACGTAGTGAGATGGTCGTCTTTGGTGTATTCCCAAAGTCGGCAGATACTCGATGCTACACTCATTGAGATTTGACTCTTGAGTTTTGTTTGGTTGCGAGTCAGTCGCTTATCGAACGAAACTCGTGGGAAAGATCAGTGATATTGAGATCCCTTAGAACCTAGTTACTATTTATAGGACAGGTTGAGCCAACTAAATTTCAAGAGGGTACTTACCTACAAACCCCATGCAAGCCTAAACCTAAGGTTGATTGTGTGATTTTTTTGCTTTCAACTTAAGCTACTTGCTGGGTTTTTATCTAACAACATGATCTCCTTGCAGGATTTGTTTACAGTCATTATCCAGTAACCTGGAAT